CCCTCATCCCTCCCTCATCCAGTCTGTCCATCCCTCCCACTCACGGTGTCCTGCCCCAGCCCACTCGGGTGCAGAGTTTGATCAGGGGAGTGGGGGGTTGAGGGTCTTGGTCCCCAGGGTGGGGGTCCTGGCCACCCGGCCCCAGCTCAGGCCAAAACCGGGCTAAGCTGCTTAGGACAGTTACAACACATGCCCGCAGCTGCTGCCTGGGCCCGATCCTGTGAGGCAGGGGCTGCGGGGGTCACAGACCCAGCCCTCCCCAGCCCCACCTATGTGGGGGGCTCCAGCAGCCCCAAGGGACACTGCAGGGCTGGGCATGGGGATCCCTGCCCTGTGGAGCCCCCCCTGGCTGGACAGGTGCATGCCAGGAGGGGAAACTGAGGCACTGAGCAGGGCTGGCTGCAGAACCAAGGCATCCGGGGGGGTGTCAGGAGGTGATGAGGCTGCAGGCGAAAGCCCCAGCCCAGCGTGATCCAGTTAAGAAGTTCGGAGATCAGGCCAGGCCAGGTCCATGTGCCCCCCCCAAACCTTCCCTGCTCTCCCCCAGACCAGGGTTTTTCTGGAGATGTCCCCTAATGCCACCCCCAAAACTAGGTTGCCAAAGGGAGCCCTGGATTGCAGGGGCAGGGGGCTGCGGGTCGGGAGCGAGGGGCACCAGCATGGCTGGGGGCGCTGGGTCCCTGGGGTGCAGCTGCTGCCCAGCCCGTGCCCCCCCAGCACGTGCCCTTCGCCCTGGCGCCTCGTGCCAGCGGGGCGTGATGTCACCTGTGGCCGCGGCAAGCAAAGGCCACAGGCCCCGAAATAGCAGCGCGGCCCCGGGGGCCCTTTCCCCTGCATTCAGTCACCATGGCAACTGTCCAGCGGGGCATGGGGGGGCACGGGGGGGGGCAGCCTTGAGGGTGAAAATAAACACAGAGTAACCGGGCAGCGCCCAGCTGGGCTTTACCCCATTGCAAAGTTCCCAGGACACCTGGGTCCCGTGGCCACCTCTGTACGGGAAGCGGGGGGGTGGGATTGCAGGACTGGCCTGGACGCCTGGGTCCCAAGCGTGCAGTGGGGGTGTGCATGGCAGGGGCCGGGACACGTGGTTCCCCTTTTGGGGGTGGTCCCAGGTCAGTCCAGGCTCCCCGGAGGCCACCCCAGGTGGGTGACTGCTCCCTGCCTCAGTTTCCCCTTGGCCTCTTGTGGCAGAGTCAGGTCCCCCAGGGCTGAGGAGAAAGGGCCTGGGGGCAGGGGGGCAAAGGGCCTGTTTGGGGGGGTGGGAATGAACCGTCCCGCATGGGGGGGGGCTCGGAGTCGCAATTCCCAGCCCATGTTGCCACAGCCCCACTGTTTGCTTACCCTTGCCCCCCCACGCCCGCGACGTGGCGCTGGACTTGGGCTCCTGCCACGCTCCACAGCCCCCCAGGCTGGCGCCCAGGGGGACCATGGGCATCCCTGCCCAGCCCCCTCTCCCCCCCCATCCTGGGGCTGCCGGCTCGCTGGAAAACTCGGGCGCGCTGGAAAGCTCCCCGGGGGTGGGGGGAGCCACGTGAATGCTATGCCACGGCTGACGGGGGTGGGGGGAGCTGGACAGAACAGCCGGGGGGGTGGTCATCAGGGCACTGCCGGGGGGGTCGAGGGCAGCCCAGGTCCCCCCATTACAGCCTCTAGGTGCCAGCTGAAGTGGGGGTCTGCACAGCCCTGGCGTTGCCCCAGCCCCGATGGGACCCACACATCCGGGCGCCTGTGCGAGACGAGTCCTGGGAAGGCAGAGGTGACCCCCATTAATTGGGGCAGCTGCAATTAACGATGCTTAAAGAAGCTTCCCGGGGTGGGGGGGGCGATCCCCTGTGTGAAGCCCCCTCCTCAGGCCTGGGGACCAGCAGGGTCAGGGGTCAGGGGCCCAGCATGGCCAGCCCAGGGTGCCCCCCCCCGTGATGCCCAGGCTGTGGGGGCCCAGAGGAGGAAACTGAGGCACGGAGCAGGGACTAAGCCCAGAAGCTCCGGGCTCGGGGATCGAACCCAGTCATCCTGGGTGGACAGACAAGGGGGGGAGGGACTGGGCAGGCAGCTGTGGTGCCCGCTGAGTCCAGCAGAGGGCAGCAGGCATTGCGTCTGGACCGCCCCCAGGGTGATGTCATGCTGTGATGTCATGCAGGGCAGTGATGTCATGCCAGAGGCTGACAGGTTGGCCTGGGCAGAGCCAGCCACAGACCTGGGGCATCCCCCACCGGGGCAGCTGGGCACCAAGGGGGCAAGTGGGAGCCCTCGGGGGATGCCCTGGGGGTGCCCTGCGCACCTGGAGCTGGGGAGAGACCCCGGGAATCCCGGCTGCCAGCCCTGCCCCCTCTCCTTGCAGGGCCCAGGGGTGGGGGGCACCCAGGAGTGCAGTCTCCGCACTCAGTGCCTGCCTTGCCCCCTGCGACTGCGTCATGGGGGGTGGGGGGGGCAGAACTTTGGGGAATCCCCTCATTGGCTGCTGGCGCCTGTGTCATGTCACAGCCCGTGTTGTGATGTCATGAGCCAGGGGTTGAGGGTGGGGGCAGGGGCAGGGGGACTGGGGAGAGCAGAGGTGGGGCTACTGGTCAGACTGGAGAGAGGGGCTGGGAGCCGGGACACCTGGGTTCAGTGCTCAGCAGGGGAGAGGGGTTGAGTGGTTAGCGAAGGGGCGGGGCTAAGACGGGACACCTGGGTTCAGTCCCTGCCCTTGGGAGCGCGGGTCTGGGGGTCTTCAGTGGAGTTAAGTGGGGAGAGCCGGGGGCAGGGTGCTGGGAGCCTGGATGCTGGGTCCCCCCTCCTGGCTGTCCTACCCATGTCCCCAGGCCACAAATGCCCCCCCCCCCCAGCCCGAAACCTGTCTCCATGACAACAGGGGCATCTCAGCTCCCACTGTTGGGGGGCAGAAGTGCAGAGGGTGAGCCCCCGGGGCGGGGCGGCTGCGGGACCCTGAGTGTTACGGGGGTCGGGAGGGTATTGATGGCCGTATGACCTCATTGCAGCAAGGCCTGACATCACTGCCGTGCCCCGTGAGGTCACGGCAGCCGGTGAAGCTGCCTCCTGGCCAGGTAAGCCCCAAGCTGCCGGGTCCCGGCCTGGCATGGGGCCATGGCCCGCAGGATGGCCCGTGCTCCACGTGTGCAGGCGTGTTGCATGCATGTGCGGCCCCCAAGCCTAGGACATGGCGGGGGGGCACCCGTGTCCCTCGCTCCCTATCCCCCAAACCCCTCCTGCATTGGGGGGCCCCAATCCTGGCACCTCCGGAGTGGGGCGGGGGTTCATTCCCTGCCCAACCCCAGCCCAAAGCACCCTGCAGCCGGTCCGGCCAGGCCAGGCGTTGCTTCCCGGGGCTGGGCGGGCATGCACACGCGTGTGCCCCACAGGCGTGGGCGTGGGCGTGGAGATCCAGCCCAGGTTTTCCCAGCACCGCGGCCGGCATGGTGCGTGCCTCCAATTTCAGGGGCTCCCTTCGCCCGCTTCCCCCCGGCCCCCAGAGACCTCGCAGCTGAGCAAGTGGCAAGGGGAAAAAGAGAGGGGCGGAGGGGGGGCGGTGGACGACAAAGCCCCCCCCCAACCCACCCCCATACCGGCTTGAGCAGAGCCCAGAAAGAGCGGGCAAAGTTTTGTCCCCCCTCCTGCCCCAGCCCCGGCTTCAAAGCGCCGGAGCAGGGCCCGGAGCCGCTCTCCCGGGTGGAAAAGCATCGGGAAAGGGTTTTTTTTTCTCTCTCTCTCTCTTGAAAGAAAAACAAAACTTCCTTCTCCGAGGTGGTCCGGGGCGGCCGCGGGGAAGGAATATTTATAACCGGGGCCGCGGCGTGGCGACGAGGCGCCCGGAGTTCCCGGCTCCCTCTTCGTCCCCCCCCCAGGACTTTCTCCTGCTGGATTTCCAGGGGGGGGAGAGGAAAAAAAAAAATCTTCATCTGATTCATCATCTTCGTCCGAAGATTTGGGTTTGGAGGAGATTTGGGTTTGGGAGCCGGGAGGCCACAGCGACCGGTGGCTCTCGGGGGGGGGGTCCCCCCCTGCCCCCCGTCTCTTTGCAAGGCTTTTCCCTGGATGTTCAGCGCTGGGGGAGACCCTCGCGGCCCCCGAAGAGTGGAGTTACCCCCAGGGTCGAGGAAGGGCTCAGACCGGCCCCGGCGCTTGGAGGTACGAGCTTGGCTTGGCTGCTGCGTCTTTGCAGGGGAAAGTTTCAGGGAGTGCATGGGGGTCCTGTCCCCCCCCACCCGGTCTTCTGTTTCGGTGGGGGCCGCAAGACCCTGTCCCCGGGAAGCAGGAGAGGAGCGAGGGTCCCCATGGCTGTGCCCGGGTGCCTGGCGGGACGGCGGCTGGGGGATGCCTGGTCTGTGGGCACTGCGGTGACAGGCGTGCAGGGGTGAGGGGGGGCCAGAGTTTGGAAAGTCCTCGCCGGAGCTGGCCCGGAGGCCGCGTCTCGGCTCCAGGCTCCTGGGTGGGCCGAGGGGGGAAAGAGGGGGGTGATGCTGAGGGTTCGGAGAGTGACACTTGCTCCGCGGGGGCCACGAGCCCTCTTGGGGAGCTGGAGGCTCCTCCTGCCCGGCTCTCCTGCCCCAGGGGGGGCGAAGGGGGAGACCCCCCTCGCTGGGAAGAGCCCAGGAACCCTCCCCCCTCGGCCTGGAAAAGTCATCAGCTCCCTGGAGCCGCGACACTGGGAGCCCCACGGCAGGGGGGGCGCTGACCCTGTGTGCAGCCGCCTGGGAGGGCCCCGTGTGTTTGCTGCGGCTTGGAAGGACCCCCCATGCCCCTGCACACACACGTGCGCACGCATGGGACTGCTCACATACATGCTATGTGCACACACGCTCATGTACAAGCTCACATGCCTGTGTGTGCGGGCACATGGCCCCTGCACACAGGCACACATGTGTCTGTGTGTACACACATCTCTGCAGATGTGCACGGGTGTATGGGCATGCACCCCCTGCACACACGCGCACACATGCATGTGTATGTGTGCACACATCCGTACATGCCCACCCCTGCACATGCACACACAGGTATTTGTGTGCACACGGCCCTGCTTGCAGACGCATGCATATGGATGTGTGTGCACACGCACATGTATGTGCGTGCAGACCCCTGCACACATGTGCATGTGTGTGGGCACACATCTCTGCACCCTCAGAGCTCTGTGTACACACTGCACGCACGCACACACATGTATGTAGACACATACACAGACCCCTGCACACACACATCTGTATGTGCAGATACACCTATGTGTATGTATATACAGACCCCTGCACGCACACACGTGTGTGGGCACACATCCCTGCAGTCAGGCATGCACATCTCTATGTGCACACACTGCACACGCGTGCGCACACATATAGATGTGTACACAGATCCCTACACACACACACACACACACACACACACACACACACACATCTGTATGTACATGCACACACACTTATAGATGTGTGCAC